TCTGCGCTCGGCCGCCTCCATGGAGCTCCGCCGCCGTTTCTGATGCCCGGCCCGGAGCGCACCATGGGGCCGTTGTGGTTCTGCTGTTTGCCCCTCGCCCTCTTGCCTCTTCTCGCCGCCGTGGAAGGTAAGGAAGGGGCCTTTCCGGGGCAGAACCCCTCTTTATTATGATGATCGTTATTATTTTACTAATTTTTTTTTCCCTCCCTCTTTCTTCTCTTTCTCTCGTTTATTATTATTTATTTAACTAATCGAGGGGTGGCCCTCGGCCCTCCCCCTCCCTCCACGCCGCACCCCTTCCTGGGGGTGTGGGGTGTGGGGGGGGGGGGGGAGGAGGGGGGAAAGAAGGAGGGAAGGCGAAGTTTTGGGGAAGTGCTGCCCCAGGTGGAGCTTTTTCCCCCAACCCCGGCCCTTCCCTTCCCTCCGCCATCCCCGTACCGAGGTGGGCATCTCCCACCTCGCCTCCCGTAGGGAACCGCCGAGCCCCTCTCCAGGGGATGCTGAGGAGAGGCTTTGGGGTCTCCCTGAGCGAGGCCAAATGCCTCCTCCAACCTCTTCCCCGTAGGGTTCCCCCAGGGCTGAGACAAAGCAGAGGCAGCGGCAGGTGGGTGCGTGGCTGAGGGATGGGTGTGCGGCCGAGGGCTGGATTCCCATTAAGGGCTGGCTGCGTGGCTGGGAGCCCCGTGCCAGATTCCCATCTTGGGGTCCCAACGCATCGCATCCCAGCCACGCCTGCAGTGCTGTGGAAGTTTGGGGGGCTCCACAGGGCTGAGCTTTGCTGCTGCGTTGGGTGTGGAGGTGGTGGGAGACGTCCGGACCGTGTTTGTCTGGAGCAGTGGATGAGGCACCATTTATTAAGTTGGAGTTTTGGGAGATGACTCATGGGTTGGCCGGCTATACATCGTGATATTTACAATATGGGAGCTTGGCATAAATAGGACTATTTACGTTGCAGCGGAGAGCGCTAGCCAGCTATGCTATTCAAATGAGCATGGTATGGTTTTAATTAGGGGTTGGGGGGGATGGGGGGTGATGAGTGTGTTCGTGGGAGCACATGTCCAAGTGGGACGTGTGGCCTAAGCTGCCCGCAGCAGCCACGTTCACAGCTGTGTTCATGCTCAGAGCCCTCAGCCGCACTGGGGATGGGGCGACCCATCCTGGGATGGGGGCTGGAAGCCCCCTGTAGGGATGTTGGACCCCATCAGGAGGTGTTGGGTGGCGTGGGGCCGTGCTTTGCTTGGAAACAAGAGGAACGGATTGACCTTCCCATCACCGTGGCTGCAGGGCTGGGTGTGCGGATGCTCGTTCTGAGGGATGGGGAAGGGACGGCTGTGGATGGGGGAGGTCAGCGAGGTGTGGATGTGAGATGTGCTCCCAGTGGTGGGGATGCTGTGGGGTGAGAGCTGAAGGTCTGGTGGCCGTCCCCATCCGGGGTCTGAGTTCCTCACAGGAGGTTCGTTATGCTGTGTCCTTCTCTGGTGTTACGCACGTCTTGGGGCTGTGCGAGCCGTGCCCCGGCCTTCCTCTCCTCCTGCAGAGCCGACACGGCAGGGGAGCGTGGGCTGAGCTCTCTGGGTGCCCCTCTGCTCCATCCTTCCCTTTGGGAGCTGCCATTTCGGGCACAGCGTCCATCTGCTTCTCCCGATGCGCCCCGTCGGTGTGGGCAGTGACTCCAACAGTGGGTGATGACCGAGGGCATGGCGGCTGCAGCCACCTCCTGCGGTGGCAGTGTTGCTGTCGCTGTCTCTGGCACATTCCCCACCATGTCCATGGCCAACGTGGGGAGAGTAGAGCTCATCCAGCTCCGATCTGGTGATTTGCCCAGGGAACGTTCCTCCTGAGCCCTGTTTTCAGCTCTGCTCCAGAGCTTTGCCGTAATGCTGGTAATTTCACTTGTCTCCTCTGTGCCTCAGTTTGCCTAATTACAAGGCGTAAAATAATACAAGCGTCCCTCCCAAGGGAGCTGCGAGGTTTTGTTAATGAACATGACAAAGTGCTTTGGGATCCGTGGTTAAAAGCACAGTGAGAAGGCAGCCTTAGTCAGTGCGCGTGTGTGCACGGTGTTTATTTATCTACATGCTTTATATTTCTTTGTGCACTATAGATTCTTGTGCATTTAGCAAACCTTAATTAGAAACAAAGCCGATAGGGAAGGAAATATAAACAGGAGTGTGCATGGAAATTGGAAGTTGATTACTCTATGGCCGGCTGAATGCGTGTCCTGGGCTCGGGAGGAGCGGCTGTTGGGGTAAAAACGTCTCTGCTGAAAGGAAATGTGAAAAGAACGTGAGGCATAAATCAATATGGAAAACAGGGAGGTGGATGACAACGTACATAAAGCAGAGGGTAAGAGTTGCATGCAGTTGTTCAGGCTGTTGCAAGGTATCTATCTATCTGTGGCTGGGAAAGTTCGGGCTTATGGAAGGGAAGTTTTTGTGTGTGTGTGTTTTTTTTCTTTAAGAAAGAAATTCAAGAACAAAGGAGTGCTGGAAGGGTCTGGATCCCACACCACACCATTGGTAACAGTGCTGCTATCGCTGACGGCCCTCTTTGTGCTGCTGCTTGCATGTGCTGCTTGCGTGGCACAGCGTGTCTGGAGCAGGGATGCTTCCAAGGTATCTGGGGGGGGAAGATGAGGATGGGAGCTGCGCGTTTTAAAATCACACGCCAGGAGAAAAAAATGAAGGCACTCTTCACCCCCTCTTTGGAGTTAACTTTTCGTAAACCTTGCAGTGCTGGCAAGTTTCCCGAGGGCTGGAGGAAAGCCAGCTCCGTGCCAAAAAATGTGGAAGGAGAAATGAGATGGCCCTCCTATCTGTGAGAGCATGGGGCTGTGGGCTCCAAAGCATGGGGTGTGGGGCGGGCAGGGGTCCTGTCGCTGCTGCAAGCTGGAGGCAGGAGCTGCTTGCTCGTGCATAGTTGTCATGGAGTGTAATGTATATAAGACACATGATGCACTTATTGAGCTGCGTGCATGTGCTTGAGATGGGGTATGCTGTGTTCTGTGTGTGTGCTACAGCATATTGTAGTGTTCAAGCGCAGTCTCCCCTCTCGTGCCCATGTGGCCATGGAGTGACCCATTGCAGGGCTCTTCCACCACCTCCTCCAGCCCCAGAGGCGGAGGAGCAGTGCCAATTAGCTCAGCCCTTGATTTATCCGGTGCTGTGACCGGGCAGGAAACAAATATTGTAAAACTGCACTGAGGTGTGGAGTGGAGACCTTGATTTTGGATCTGCGATACCTCTCTGTGTGCTCTGCCTTCCCCCAGGGCTCCATTCCCTGGGTTAATTTTTGACGAGGTGAATGCTGCATCGCTGGGGCAGTTGGAAGTAGACTGATACACTGATGCCCAGTTCAGATATCCACATATCCACATAGTAGTTGAGGTTGCAGAGACTCTGCTTCTCCCAGTTGCTCCCAATCCCCGCTGTAATTCCAGATAGGTTGATCCAAGCCCAAGGAGGGGTGCTAGAGGGAGATGCCTTGGGGACAGGGCTATAAGAAGCCAGCCATGGGGCCATGGCTTGGAGTGGCACAGCTCCAGTGCCACCCGTGTCCTGAGAGCGCTCCAGAGAAGGACTTGGGGTGGTGCAGGTACAGCAGTGCTCTGGGGATGTTACTGAGGGGCTATCTGCCACGGCTGGGAGCAGGGGTCTGCTGTGCTGAAGGATCTGCCTGCACTCGTTGTTTGTGTACACATACCTGTAGCAGATGTAAAGGAGGGTGGACACCGGTGTAACTGCAAAACCTGCTGGAGAAGCTGGGTAAATACTGAGTCCTCTGCTTTCTGCTTTTGTGTGAGCACAGCCGCAGCGGTGATAAATGAGTTTGAGTCCACTGCTCCTGCCCTGACATGCACCCACAGCCCGGCCACGCCACGCTGGGCTGAGAGGTGGGTGCTCGTGTGTGAGCCTGGCTGGGAGCAGGCACAAAGCTCCTGTCCTGGGGAAAATCAGATTTTACTGAAAAGACTCGGTGAGCTCTCATCTTGCTGGAACGCAAGGCTGAAACGCGGCTGCCCATTCCCTGCTGCGTGCAACAGGGAGATCCTCGAAGGCAAAAGTTCAGCAGTGAGATAAGGGGGGAAAGATGGGGCCTCCTGTGATAACAGGCTGACGTGTGCAGGACCTGGCACTCGCAGCAGGGCTGTGGCTCTTCGGGGCTTGCAGAGATGCATCAATACCAGGATTTTATATTGCTGTCGTGGGTCTGTGCAGGATGGGAGGTGATTTGTGCCAGGGCGCAGACTCTGGAGCTGAACAGCATGGAGGTGAGGGAGGACACAAGCATTGCATCGTGCTGTCAGCCCCCCTCTGAATTTCATTGCTCGAGGATGAGGAAGCGGCGTTTGATCTCTGTTCCCCCTTTGACCCGAGTCGTGGCACTGATTGCCAAATGTTAAGGGAGATTAAACAGGCTGTGAGGGCAGAAAACGCTGCTATAATTGCAGATGGTACTTGCCTCCATCGAAACCGAATAAATGTCACAAAGGGGCGTTATTCAGAAATTACAGTTTTAGTGACTGTGAATAATTGCAGCTCTTCAGAGAGCCCACGAGAGGAGGATCTCTTGATGTAGTCCCGGACCAGCTCCATGGGAGCAGCTGTGCTGCAGCTCAGTGCCGTCTCCAGGTGGGAAGGAGGAAGGGCTGGTGAGCTCCAGAAGTTCATGCAGCTTTATTAATTAGGTCTGATAAATTAAGTTCTTTTCACTTCAAGCCTTACCTTATTCAGGGGTGGACGTCGCATCCACAAAATCACAGCAGACTGGAGGATAACACTGGAGGCAAAAGGATGTTCTTCAGAATGTGGAAGTGATGTCTAAAAGAGGAAAATAGGAAAACCTATAAACTGTGAAGGGGTGGATGTGAGCCCATATATGGCAGAGTAAGAGGAGTTTTAAGAATAACTTGTGGGAAAGCAAACAAACAAACCCCAAACCAACAGAAAAACAGAGTTGGGAAATCAGAGGGGGCGAAGTTAAAAATAGTCAGAAAAGAGCACTTGGGGACAGCTTAATTTTTCCCCTTCAAAACAGCAATGTCTTGGGATGGGGGGTTTGCAGAGGGACTGCCCCAATGCCCCAATGAAGTGTTGACGGAGGAGGTCACATTTTATAGAGTAAATG